GGAGGGGGGGGGAGTTTCTCGGCGATTAATGGGGCGGGGGGACACGGGGAGAGCGGAGAAATCCAGCCTGTGATGCCTATAAATGGCGTTTCTCTTCCAAGGTGCACACTGGAAAAAAAAAAAAAAAAAAGAAGAAGAAGGGGAAAAAAAAAAACCCCGGTCCGTGTCATCCCCCCGCGTCAGGGCCGGTGGTGGGCGTGAGGCTGTACTTCCTCCGCCCCCTCCTAATGGAGCGAACCATTCCCAGCTAGTCTTCCTCGCCCTCTCCCTCTGCCTCCCTCTTTCTCTCCTTCTCCTCTTGTCTCCCCCCCTTGTCTGCAAAGTCCTCCGCTGCTCGGAACTTGTTGGCAATGCCTATTTTTCAGCTTTCCCCCACGTTCTCCAAAGTAACTATTTAAAGATCTGCAGCCGCAAATGGTTTTACTAAATGTAGGATGGGACTTAAGTTGAACGGCAGATATATTTCTCTGATCCTTGCTGTGCAGATAGGTAAGTGGACTGCCAAATTCGGTATCAAGTTGTGCGCACCAAAGCCCGGCCGATGCATGCAGAAGCGGAATGTCGAACTAACCTGCGCCGACGGCCGCGGTTCGGGGCGGCGGAGGGACCCCCCGCTCCCCGCTCCCCGCTCCCGCCGCCTCCTTCCCGGGGGCATCTTCGCCGTTCTTCGCGCTGGCAAGGCAGGGGGGATCCGCAGGAAAGGGAGCCGATTTCTTATTCCTCTTAACTCACTTTTGGTGCTCGTTTTCCTAAATCAGTGCATGCTCGGTCATACTTCGCTTCTCCCCCCTTAGTCTTCCTCCTTTTTTCCCCTCCCGTTCTCTCCGTCCCCACGAACGACTGCATCTGTATCTGCTTTTCGGATATCCCCTGCATTCCTTTCCACCGATAATTTGGGAACTTCAGTCCTAAGAAATCCACACACACCCCCTCCCCGAGGGACGGAGAAATAAGAACCGGCACAAAATGGCTTGCGAGAGATCTAGCTGGAAAGTTTTTTTGCAGAAAATTAGGGGGACAAGTGAAGGGCTCCCTTTGGGAACTTGGAGGCTTTCCCACTTGCAGAGCAGCCTAAACCCAAACAAAACCCATCACTAACTTTAAAAAAAAAAAATAATCCACCCTAATGCGGGGATTAAGCAAATAAAAATTATTTAAAAAACGCAAAGTCCCACCGCCCGGTCGTTAATTTTGTGCTCGGAGAACGGCTGTCAAAAAACGAGCGGGTCCAAAAAATTTCTATATATGTTAAGTTACTTAAAATAGAACAGGTTTCCCTCCACGCCGGTATGTGGTTTTGTGTGCTCGTTGCTGGTTTTGTTTAGTACCTTGGGTTTGTTGCTGGTTCTTTTTGTTGGTTTGCTCTCAGGTTCATTTTATTCAACATTTCTTTGCTGAAAATTTTTTGAGTTATAGTCATTAAACAATCTGCAAGTTAATGACCACTTTGGTCCTGTACAGGCAAATTTTAAAGATTATATCTTGAATATGTATATTCCCGAGCATGATCCAAAACTGGGCTTCAAGGAAAGGGCAATTAAAGCGCGTCTTTTATTATCCAGATTGTCAGGTGTGAAGAGACCTTTGAAAATATTTACCTGCAAAGGAATTCTGCTACAATTAAAAAAAATGCTCGGCATTGCTATTTAGAGATCCTTTTGCTCGGTCACCCTCCTCTCCAGACAATCTCTGCAGCGTTTTGTGGGTACCAAAAGAAAGAAGAGAAGAGAAAAAAAAAAAAAAAGAGGGGGGGAGAACAAGAAAGGGAGGAAAGAAGGAGGTAAAATGCCTTGAACGTTTCCTCATCGAGAAAAGAAAAAATAAGAAATATTGCGATGAAATGTTGACCTCTGGAAAATGTGGATATACGATGCAACCCCCTCCATTCGTATTACCATTCCATTTTAAATGAGGCTGAACTCTTCAGAAGGCCATTTTCTGTACTGTCAGAGAAAGAAGGGGGAAGGCGTTATTTGGATGTTATCCTTAATTTCAGTCCTTACATTTTTTGCTTGTTTGTTCGTTTGGAGGAGGAGGATTTTCCCTCATTTGTGTTTATTTGACTCAACCGAGGGAGGATTTTATTCATGGCGAAATTTCAAAAGGTAGCTAGAGTGATTGGGAATCGCCGTCCCCGGGCTGGCATGAGCATGAGCAGTCATTTGGAAAGTTACCCCCAAATATTGCTGCACACCGCGGAGATGGTGGCGGTGCGGTGGCTTTGCGGTGCCCTGGGAGAGGACGGCTTTGAAGCTCCTGGAGGGCTTTTCTCCTCTCTGCTCCTCCTTCGGTATTTCGGGTAACCTTCCCCCCCCCCCCCCGAAATCAG